TATGATATCGACATATATGCACAGTTGGCGTCAATATCAAATCGACACATGCTGTTCAACTTTCCTTGCAAGTACACGCATATGATTCAAATTATCGAGTTTTTATCACTATTAAAATAAGCAATAATGCATATATGATATGACCTTAAGCAGTACTATATAAAGGTAAACGAAAAAAAAAAAACAGATTTATTTATCAATTCAATGTCATCACCATGTACTTGACCGTTTATCATATAGTCAAAAGAATACAAAGAAAAAAAAAACAAAAGAACATACACATTCATATTCATCCTAGTGCATAGCAAACGAAATAAAATATTGAAAACATCACGTTGGATTGTATATATGCACACCCTTTTGACACCGATTTTATATCCACGCATATACACGTATATATCAGGTCACTTCTTATATTTGAATGTCAAACTACTTGACCTATGATGATGACAATATAGAAAAATAACACCTCTATTTTGAAAAGATCTTCATTAGACAAGATTGATCACGACATTTATTTTAATAAACAATTAGAGATTAACATTTCATATGAACAAAAAAGAAAGAAAAGAAAAAAGAAAAACTAAATGGCACGGTAAGTATTATAGATTGATTATAAGTGGATAAGCTACAGTACGATTTGCATTGATAGACACAGTCATTTTCTACAAAATGAATGACTTTAAGTAATATCCTTTTATCAATATGAACACATACAGCGTGACAAAAAGAAAAAGTACTTAACATGTCTCGCATTATTATGACAAAAGCGACGTGGACTGACCGATGGTCTTCGCTTTTCTTTTCCTCTTTGTTCTTTTGTTCTTCTCCCCAAGAGTCTCGGATACAGAGACGAGCACTTCGGTCACTTTTTCAGCTTATATATATATATATATACATATATATGTGAGGTTATTACTTTGAACGAACAAATTCTTCATTCTTTCCTCTTTCTTATTGTCTTAATACGGAGGCACGTCAAAACGATGGCGAGGTATGTATGTATGTGTTACTTATAGATGCACAAACGAACAGAGACAAGAAAAAATATATATAAAAGAATTGACCGGAAATTGAATGCATACATATATAAAACAGGTGCCGTCGTATGAACAAATAGATTAGTATTGCATAAGTTTCTTTTTTTGTTTTTTCTTCTATTATACAGATATTATTGACAAGTGTCATTTCCATCATCAACTTGGCTTATCCAGAAGATAATTTGTATCATAGGAAAGTTACAAATAAGAAAGCTTTCTTTCCTTGATTGTAACACCCATATAAACATGCACAGTGCATCTAGTTATGAAACATAGTATCCTTCATATATAGTGTCTAATCGCTGAACAAACAATTATACAGAAAGAAGAGTGTGTAAGAAGAAAAAAGAATGAGGACTGAATGACAGTATATACGTGGTAAATGTTCTATTACACGCTTTCTCTTTTTTTTTTTTTTTCGTTTCTATAAATATGAAGAAATTTGATATCCTTACAGCGTTTCCAATTTAAATATAAAAGAAAATTTTGACCTTGTTTTCGTTTTGCTTAAGAACATTAACTAAGTAAGCAATTCATTTTTTTATATATAATATTTATATCAACACGGTCGTCGCTACCATTATATTCCTGCATATCATCAAACTAATGATGAGTATATGACGGGCTCCTACAACGAAAGGAATATAGTAGCATATAAAGTTGTTCTCTCTCTCTCGTTCTTTTTTTTTTCAGCTGCTTTACACTTTCTATAGCTCTTGTCGTATGCGACATTATATTGTTTATGAAAGTGCGAGATGCGACAAGAGTACATGAAGTGCGAGACAATATAATTTTTTTTCATCTATCCTTTGCTCGATTTTGTATTTTTTTAGGTATATGTGTGTTGTAATCGTACAATAGCTTTGTGTTGAGTTACACTTGAACCTCTAATCTACAGACCGATTGACATTTTGAGATGCTAGCAAATTCAGTTATTTTCTATAAATATATTCTTTATCTCTCTCTCTATCTTCATTCTCTCCTGCTTTTTTGTTGCCAAAAAAAGCGTGCGTTGATGCTTTCCGAGTCGCCATTTCTCCCACTCATTTTCTTCTTCGAGCCTGAAAAATGAAAATCGTTTCTTTTCTTCTCTTCTCTTTTCCATCATCATCATCATCATCTCTCCGACTTTCTCATACTCATTCGCCTTTATGTTTAGCTCTAATCATATGTATGTATGTCTAATAGACATAAAGATGTATACAAAATCACATGAATAATCATATACAATATGATGCCTATAATTTAACAAGTCGTACTATTTTTAATGAAGGTCTTCATTTATTACAGATAGTTCCTGTTAATACATTCTCATTCGTCTTCTTGTTTCATCATTATCAAACATTATAATCATGATCAACAATAATATTAACAATAATAATTTTTATTGATTAATTGAGCATTGAAAATTTTGCTCACGTTCAGCGATGTGGAAGAAAATCAAAGAAATCTTGTGTAAGCATACTGGTGAGTTTTTATCTTATTATTTTTCTTGTTTTGATAGCAGACATACACAGTTGTTTTTACGATGATACATAGATATATATATATATCTATATATGTGTACTCATCTGGTATCGCTTCACCATATATTGTCTGCATGTGTTCTATAGCGAAGATCATACTAATGAATGACAACGATGGGATGCCTCAAATCATGTAGAATGCTTTACGATAAACGAGGCAAGCATGAATCTAGAAATGTAATGATAAGCACATCCCTTTGGTTAATACTTTACAAAAGAGTTTAACGAGACAAGTAATGATGAGATGCACATCAGCATTAATTTTTCAAAGTATATTATATATAATATATAAAAGCATGGTCAATATTAGCTAGAAGTAATGTTCATATATATATATATATATAGCCAAGAAAAAAAATGACTGAACTTGTTTGATTAGCACTCGTTAAAAGACAAGGATCTCTAACCTTGGCCTTTTCTCTATCAAAATATATATGTATTTGACAATGTCAAAAAAATGAAATCACCCAAGAGAATAAATATTATACTCGATATTAATATTATAGTAAATGAACGGAAATCCGATATTTTTCAATCCGTTCGTAATTTACAATAACCATGATCTGCTATTATTTTTATTTAGTTTACAAAGATGAATCAAGTACTGTATCAGGACAAAGCACGGTAACAACCTCGGTGATTAACCTTAAACTTTCACCTCCAACACCATCACGGCAAGCAGAAACACTTCATCATCATCATCATCAACCATATCGTACAGCAGTCGGTAAAAGTACTTTGAACAAGACTGATGAACATTGTCGTTCATTGTTTAATCTTTTACCCATCTCACTTCGTCCTCGTCCTCGTCATCTAAATCAAACTTCAAATAACAATGGCGTTGATGCTGTAAGTATGAAACAGCAAGAAAGAGAGACAGAGAGAGGAAAAGAAATGAAGAAAACGGTCGAGAATATAAAAAAAAAAAGATCTATTACGTCATATTGTCGTTTCGACTAGTGTAGTGACACTTCATTCATATATCATCAATGCACCATATATACATAATAAGAATTAAGAGCGGTCATTGTCGTTCCTACGACTAAAGAACAAATTGACTTTTATTTCTTCCTTTTATATACAATAGAATTGTAATCATCATAAGAATATTTTATAGGAAACAAGACTGATGTAATCATCATTAATATAGACAAATTTATTATAACTATTTTATTTTATTGACTGATGATGATGATTGTTCTTTAGAATAAAAATGATATATATAATGAAGATTTCTTGCAGTTTTTCTTCTAATTCCAACTTGTCATTTATTATTTTATAATCAGATCAAAAATAGATTTATTCTACACTAACAATTGTTACTTTCTGATATAATCAGAGTTCTACTAATTTAGATTCGTTTGTTCGTTGTCAATTCTCTCAAGTGGTTATACTTGTTGACGAAAGAATGTAATAAGATCTTCTACGTAGTTATTGCTATTATTATCATTATTTGTTAAAGAAAAAGTAGAAAAAGACAACTAACTTGCCCTTGATATATTTATCATCGGATTATATTCATCAAAATAATACGAAAATAATAATAATAATAATAATAATAATCTCAATTATTCTAATCAAATTTTATCTTTCTTGATCACGATTACTCAATTCTTCATTCTCTAGGGTACATTTTATTCTCATTATTATCAGTTGTTGTCACTGACTTGATTTCATTGTTTAATGAAACTAGTCGCATTTTTTATTCTGTCTCTTATTCTTGTTCTCATTCATCTCGCACAACAGAAACTTAATTATTCATGATTAAGAATTTACATAGCGCATAGAGAAAAAAAGAGATGATGATAATGATAAAGAAAAAAAAATCCATGAAGTAATAAATACTCCATATGATGAGATGTTTGAATTGCATCTCCGATTTTTTTTCTCCTCCTCCCTTGTTTCCTATAAGTTAATCACCATGAACTGATGCTTGATTAAATTTAATTTTTCTTTCAAGCATCTCTAGTTGATTATACTGATATAGATTTTTCAACTAGAAAATTAGTTACACAAAGTTACAAAAATTAAATAGAACCTAACGAGAAAAAATATAAGAAAGAAGGAAAAGAAAAGCATAAAATAATCTATGACTCTTTCTCTCTATAAAAAGTTTTTTCTTCATCATTCATCTTTATTGACTAAAGGTAATCCCAAGTCAACATTATTTTTTATACACAAAAAAACAAAGCAAAAATAAAAAAAATAAAAAACGGACATAAACTTGATTGTAAATGATGTTTTACTTATTTCTTTAGTCAACAACAACACAACAATCACCATCGATTGATATATTTGGAACTGATTACGACTCTGGTTATATGTCTCAAAGTATTTTAAATCGAACACCATCATATGCATCATGTTATTCAGCTGTAGCAGCAACTGTTCCAATACCATCAATCAATCGACATGGATCAATTGAAAGTTTATTACATGGACATTCAAAATCTAATCCAGCTAATATACGTGTTCTTGTACGAAAAAATTTTGAATCATTTGCTCAAGCACATATTTCTGTTACAAAAGGTAAAAGAAAATTTTGCAGAGAAAAGAAATTATTATCTTTTTTTTTTTGTATTTTTATCTTTAGGTACCATTGTAACTGCTTTATTTGCACGTGGTCCATGGCTTTATATACGTATAGAATCGAATGGACAAACAGGTTATATTCCACGTATCATATGTTCCTTATATAAAAATTATATAACAAATGAGAGAAATTATTATCAAAATCATCATCATAATTTATCGATATCATCAACTGAATCAATATCAAATAAAGATGATGAACTTGATTTAACTGTAATATCAAAACATGATGATAGATATTTCATACATCCATATAAACAACAACAAATGAATCGTTATTTATCATATAGTTCAACTATAATAAACGATCAACAAAAATCTAAAGATCATTCAAAAAAAAAATTTCTACAAAAAAATTTTATTGAACGTGAAAGACGTAATACATGTACTTTACCACCACCACCACCACCATCAGCACCATCATTATCATCAACATTAAATTCATCAAAAGATCGACGATTAACAGCTAATTCAATTAATTGGCCTATGACAACAAAAAATTCAGATATTGTTGGTATTCATCAAATGAATGATGGATCAACAGTAATAAATAATGGAGGTATACCACCACAACGTGATACAGATTCATCAAGTACACAAGATTCTGGTTATTCAGAGTCAACACCATATTTTTTTGTACAACAAGTAACATCCGATACTGAACAAATACCAACAGTAACCAATACATCAAAAGTATTTTTTTAAATGATTTTTCTTTTTACCTAAGATGAAAGGTATCAAGGGAAATTTTTGTTATTATTCAATGAGATATCTTGTAGATCAAATTTCAAAAAAGGAAATACATTGTTTTTCTATTATGAATAAAACGATGAACGTGTAAGGTGAAGAAAAAAGAATAAATTCCTGTATTTCTATGAATGAATGAAGAATAACATTAGTTTGATTAATGAGTTTTCCCGTCTTTGGTATTTTAGCGGAAAAATAAAATGAATAATAGAAGAGAATTTATATAAAGAAAACAGAAATAGATTATGTATTATAAATATATATGCTATGCTATCATTAAAAAAAGAAAGGAAAATGTCTAAATTATTGATAATTTTTGTTCGTTTATTTTTTTTTTCAAGTATGAAAAAATAGAAAAAGCAGCGGTGTATAATGTGGTTTGTCGAGCCGTTGGGAATCTAAGTGGTTTATAATATATATATATTGTGTTTGCTTATTCGTGGAATAGAGAAAATGAGACATTAAAAGTGCATGTCTTCTGAATACTAGACAGAATACTTATGAGAAAAAGAAAAGAAATCTTTTCTTGGTTTGTTCCTGTAACTGCTGTCAGTTAAATATGACTTAATTTATTCTTTTTTTTTTTTTTTCTTTTTGCGTATCTCTCAAATGTCTGTTGGGAAATCCATGCAGAAGTTTATCATTAAGATGAGAAAGGATATATAAGTAATAGACACCATAATCATTAAGTATGATTATGAAGAGTTTTGCCGGAAGGAATTTTGAAATATTTAATTTAACCTATTAAATAGTGTCTCTCATAGATAAATATAGAACGATATTTTTTTAGTTAGTAAAGAACTTAAATATTAATATTGTTTTTTCTTATTTAAAGAAATCGACTTCATCACCTTATTATGCTACTGTTCGACATGCAACTCTACTGAAAATTCCTGACACAACGAATACACATCATAATTCACTTTGTCGTCATAATCAACAAACAACTCGAGCCAATCGTCCTCTACAATATCGACATACACTTGTAAATGGTATATCAATAAATACAATGTTAACAAATAATATAAATAAACGTCATTCATTTGGTGCATTTTATATAAATGATAATGAAAATTATGAACAACCTTCAACAAAATCAATTGATTTAATAAATAATTCTTTTCATACACGTTCAAATGAATATGCATTAATACGAAATATTCATTATGATAATGATAATATTTATCAACAAATAAAACCTGCGATACATAAGTTACCTGAAAGTCATCAACAAATTCCTGCAAGTATTTTTTTAAATCATCATCGTCAACGACAAAAACAACAATTTGGTAGTTCACATAGTGCATTTCGACCTGTACAACCAACAATAAAATCTAAGCGTGCATCAAGTGAAGGTCATTCACCATCAAGTGAACATCAAATATCATCTCCAACAATGTCCATATCATCATCTTTATCATCATCATCAAATTCTTCTATATCAAATAGAAAAAAAATTCATTTATTAAAACAAAGACGTTTATCATGTGATTTATCTATACCAATTTTAACATGTATTAATTCAAATAGTTTAACACGATCAGTTTGTGATCAAACATCGACAAAAAAATTAAATGATGTTTCACGTACAATGAGTGATATATTATGCGATCAATTTAGTGAAATTAATTTAGATGCTATTGAAAAAGATTCACTTGTACAGCCAATAATAAATAAAACTGAACAAAATATTAAAAAAAATGTAAATATTCAACAAACTTTATATACAATAACAAAAGATTATCGAAGTTCACGTGCATCATTTTCCGTTAAACGCGGTGATTATGTTTATATAATTAAACAAGTTGGACGTGCATGTTTTCTTGTTCGAAAACAAAATAATGGACAAACTGGTTTTTTACCTAAAGCATTAATGATACCAACAACAACGACAAAAGTTGATAAGTTTCTTGAAATGCATGGTTATCGAGAAACGGTTATTTAAATTTTTTTTTTCATTTTTTTTCTTTGTCTTCTGTTTTTTAGTTGTGAATTAATATAATTATTATTGTACGCTTCATTTTTTTTTTGTTTTGTTTTTCTAGTCCTTGAAAAGTTTTCTTTTTTTTTTCTTTTGCTTTTCTATAATCTTTACCTAATGTTTCGGTCTGTGTTACGCACATAATAATCGATTCAATAATGTTCTCTACCATATGTATAAGTATATATTTGTTCGTATTCATAAATTCTATTTGATATAGAGAATCTGACATGTAACGACAGAAAGAGAACTACTTAGGATAATAAAAAAGAACTAAAGAAAATTTTATTATTCAAAATCGAATATTGATTTGTGATTGAATATTTCAGTTATTTCTAAAACAACGCCTTCAGAAAACAAATAGCCGCTTTGTTAAAATCAATGTTGTAATGAAATTACAACTCAGACGGTAATTCATTTGTTCATCAGTAGACGTTTAGTTTACTTTCTTCTTCGTCTCTACATGCTGTTCATGAGATTCGAACAGTGGTACTGGATATTCATCTTCTCATAAAGCCAATCATTCAAAATGTAATAAATATCATTTTGTCATTTTTGTGTATATGAAAATACGAATATTCTATTTTCAAAAAATTATTAAAATCTTTATTTCGTAATTTAATTCTGAATATTTATATAGTTTAATATTTTTTAAGAATTTGGATTGATTGTTATACGAAAGAGTTTATCTATTTTATGAAACTTGCATAAAAAATAAGTCTAATCTAGAAAATAAAAAATATCGTACTCCAATTATTGATAGAATACTTTATCCCATATGTACTTATGTATGAAGCAAAGTAAGAGAACGGCCTGATGGTCTAGTGGTATGATTCGCGCTTCGGGTGCGCGAGGTTCCGGGTTCGATCCCCGGTCAGGCCCTTCTGAATTTTTTTTGTGTTCTATTTTACTTTTTCTTCTTATTAGATGTTAGAAAGAGTATGACTTTTATTTACTAAAAAATGCATTTAAGTGTTGTATTATAGTTCTTAAAATCAAGATAATCATTTTTATTATTCTTCTATTAATCGAAGTTATTGTCAAAAAGATTATGTATCGTGTAGCTTTTATGTTTCTCTTTTCATATCAATCAAATGCTCAAACTATCTCTCTAAATATACTGATCTTTTATATAAACATATTAGATTTAAACTTAGTATTTAAAAATCATATAATACAACGCATATTTTTTTCGTATAGAGTAATTAATATATATGTTTTTCTTATATGCGAGTATACTTTGATTTAGTCATATTTTATTTTTATTTGAAAAATAAATTTTTGTGCAAAACTATACAACTGTGTTTCTTTATTCTGATGACTATCATTACTAGGTTAACTATTTATGAAGAATATTAAAAATTTACAGCTTGTTCGAAGTCTACTATTGCAAGATAGTATTGTTAAATTCTTATAGTTTAATAATTTCAATATTCCTTTTTCTTCATAGTTTTCAAACAATCTAATTTTCATTTTTATTTTCGTACAATATCAGTCACAAAAGATTCTAGTTGTCACTTTTTATCAAGAACGTTTATAATGATTTAATTTATTCATTGACGATTAACTTCAATAAAATGGTTTGTACTAAATAGTTATGGCTTTATGCTAGAAAAAACCGAAATATGTGTAAAAATCTTGTGCCCTATTCCAACCCATGGGATATCATATTTATCAAATGGTTTTCAATAAAAGGGAAATTTGTTAATGCATTTGTTGATTTGATTGATTATACAAAATATGATACCATTAAGACCAATCCAAAAGAAGTGGTGAAGATATTTTATTTTCGTATAGAAAGTTTGTGGAAACTTTCTCTTTATATTTAGTGATAGTCAAATCAATATTCTATTTTTTTTTCGGTGATATTTTATCATTTTTTAACTAATAACATAATAGTAAAATTTTGATAAGAGCTGTTTATTATAGTATGTGATGAAAAAATTAGATCATATAATCCTCAATGTGTATTATTATTTTGCTCTTCTCTTTGTGGGTGTTGGTATTTTCTTTTCTCACACACATCCTTGAATCAGATTGACATTCAATAAACAGACAAGGACAAATCCTCAAAAGACATTTTATTAGTTACTACTATAATCTGAATTAATTCACTGCTTTTAACTACTACAATAAACGAAATTTCGTATTTTGTTTATGTATTCATTCATTCATTTTTATTTATTTTACTGTGCTTCAATGTCTACTTACGGAAAATAAAAAATTTTATTTTCGCTAAGTACAATGAAATAGACAAGAAAGCCATTGATATGAAAAAAAAATAGTAACGATTTTTCTTATAAAAAAAAATGTTTATATAAGTAGCTGTTTGCCTCACGAGATATATGAGATGCTTATCAAAGAACTTATGTTCCATGTCATGTGGAGCTCTGATTTGCATTATAACATCTTCAGATTGCAAAAAAAAACATTAATTCAAATGTTAATAAATATTTTTTGCTTCTAAATAATTTCAAATTTATATTTTTGTTTATAAAAATTTGATGTTTTTTTTTTTTACTATCTTTGCTTTGTTGACAAGGCTAAAGTATTTGTGTCATATTATTTTATATAGGACTGCTTTTATTTTGTTTTTTTTGTGCATAAAAACTAGAAATAAAATATCAAGTCATGAAAAGATGGTTGTTAATGTTCTTTATACCAAATAACTAAGAAAAGAAGAAATAGTAAAAAAAAACAACTTGATTCGCTCAGCTCTGAAAACTGAAGTGGAATTTCGATCTAATACTAAAACAACACAGTATGTCATTAATTTCAATGTATAAAGAACATTAACAACCATCTTTTCATGACTTGATATTTTATTTCTAGTTTTTATGCNAATAAAATATCAAGTCATGAAAAGATGGTTGTTAATGTTCTTTATACCAAATAACTAAGAAAAGAAGAAATAGTAAAAAAAAACAACTTGATTCGCTCAGCTCTGAAAACTGAAGTGGAATTTCGATCTAATACTCAAACAACACAGTATGTCATTAATTTCAATGTATAAAGAACTACTTTCCAGGATGAATTCCATTCTCCATCTAAAATGAAATAAAAAAAAACATACTTATAGTTGTGCACTAATTGTCGTTAAACAAGAAAATATTTTACTTTATAACAAAACTTTTTATTCTCATGTTTTTGATTATCTTCTAACTAGTTCATATATGAAAAATACGATTTATTCATCTGCAATTCAAAAGATAATATTTAAGATCAATTAACTGAACAAAATTAATGAAACTTTTCATCATGAAACAGATCAATAGTTTATAAAGTTAAGGATCACAAGTGTTCCGTTTTATAAACTTATGCTTTTTCGTTATTATCAATGATGTAAATAGTTCAAATAATTTCATTTTATCAAGTTTTTTAATCTTATATCAAACGGCATAGTTAAACCTTCATATTCCAAATACAAAAAAAAAAAAATGAAACTCTGCACCGTGTTCTCTTCGATAAATGATTAAGCACTTCAAAATATCTCAAAGTCATTGATAACCTTATGTTTTAATATCTTAATCTTTTTCAATTGTTTTAGTCAATACATGTCTTTATGATTTTTCATTTTTAATTCAACAACCATTACTATAATAGATGCTGTACTCTATTGTCACGCAAAACTATATATGCAAAACCGGAAAGAATCTAATAAGACTGGCCGTATGCGTGATTTCTTTGGCTTGTTCTTTCTTTTAAATAATGCAATTGATTTCTTTTACTCTTTCCTATTCAATATTTCAATACCAGATTATGTAAAAGTACATGATTTATTCTAGGCCATGAACATTACACCAGTAGCGTCCTCTGGTAAATTTTTTTCCTCATTGGTTTAGATGGGAACAGCTGTTTTAAGAACGATAAAAGCCTACCATTATTCACACTTGTCGAATAGAAACGAATAACAAAATATCTAAAACAAATAGATTACAAATTATTCTTTTAGAAAGAAAAAAAAATACTTTTCATTATTTCTATCAATTAAATGTTTATAAATAAATTTGACTTTTTTTTTAGTTTATTTGAATAGTTATGTCTGATGTGTTTAGTGAAATTGATTTAAGTGATAATGCAACGATAATCGAATCTATTGAATCATCATCGAATCTTCGAGCACGTCGAAAAAATGATTCATTATCAAATAAACATATACCAAATTCATCATCACCAACAAACCAAATAAATCCTTCATTATATCTTAATACTTCATTACATGAAATAACTTCACCTACATCATCATCATCACTTATTGATAGTAATAATTCAATATCATCCTCATATAGTACATCATCAACATCTACTCGATATTCACCTTCATCATCATTATCGTCACCTGTACCAACGACAATCTCATCTGATTCATCATCATTATCACCAAAGAATTTAACACGTTCAGCTGCATCTATTGATTTAACCAAACATATATTTAATTTTCCTATAACAAGACAAGATTCAATTATTGATTCATTATTATCTGCTATATATGAACGTGATAGTAGTATTTATGGTTTATCATCATCACAAGATAGTGATACAGTAACAACAGGTGATTGTACGGATCAATCAATAAATATACGTCGATTAAGTGATGCTTCTATGTTACATGATGAAAATACTGTCTTTTCAAGATCAAATCTTGCAAATAAAAGTAAATGGAATTTTTAATAAAATAATAAATTTCTTTGAAAGAAAATATTTAATACTCTTTTTCTTAATATTAAATTATGAATAATTCTTTCTTTTGTCTAATTATGTGTTGAAATGAATTTATGTAGTTTTGCAACTGATAGATAAAATATATAAAAACATAATTTAGAAAAGAAAAAAGAGTTTAAATCCTTTTTTTCGAGAATATTGAACATTTAACTCAAGTCTAAATTCTATGTGATTGATATCGGAATTGCAGAAAAATATTTTACAGAATAAATTCTCTAGAAAATCGTTGCAAAGGACGTCTAATGAAAGAACCATTCTAGTTGATACTTGCCGTTTGAGTTAATATTGGGTCAAAAACGACGTTCTAGTAAAACTAACAATAATCTAAACGAGTCCTACTATTTGGAACTGTACAGTCAAGTTATGATCGTTGTACTAAATTTTCGACCCAGTTTATATACCGAAAAATCAGAATTTAGACGTGGAATTTCGTCTATGGATACGTCAAATGACCTACAAAGTATACTGAAAGTTTCAGCTAACAAGAACATTTTGTTGAGATAATGAAATTTCGAAAAAACTATTGCTTGCTTATAGACATGTTATAAAAAAATTGACTTTATTGGAAATTTTAATATCTTGATAAAGAAATGTTCTCGTTAGCTGAAGTTTTCAGGATATTCTATCTATTATTGGAACTATTCATGGACAAAGTTTTATATTAATTTTCCGGTATATAACCTAGGTCGAAAATTTAGTAAAACGATCATAACTTGGTTGCAAAAGTCCATAGACTTGGACTCTTTTAGGCTTTTGTTAGTCTCGCTTGGAACTCCTTGTGAGTTCAATATGTGCTCAAGGGGAAATTTTCTTTCTTCGAACAGAATACAAAAAGAAAATTTCAACTCTGCTGAAAGAAGAGAAAAATTTTACACAATAGGGGGTGTGTTACACTCCCAACAGTTACTCTTCGTCAGTCGGATCATCCTGATTCCCTCGTAAATTTAAGAGATATAAAAACATATTTTACTCTTACCCTTCAATCCAACATAAAATTCAGAATGGAATAAGAATTTACTATATTTTTTGTGACTTTTTTTTTTCACACCATTATAGATGTGAGGAGGAATGTGTTTTTAATCGATTAATTTTTTTTTTCTAATATTTGCAAGCGTCAACAAAATCTCAGAAAATATTCATAGTACTCGTTTTCTTTCGAGTATCTTTTTCTCAACACTTCATGCTCCGAAAAATGGAAAAACTTTACTGCAATCTTACTCTTAAAATTTTGAGCGTTAATATATATATGTGTGTATTTAATTAAACTAGGTATACAAGAATTGCGACATTTGTGCACTCATATTCAACAACAGATAAGTCAAGCAAATGCAATACTTGTGAAAAATCTTCGTCATCGTGATAAAAATCTATCTAAATTACAACGAAATTGTGATATTATTACAGCGATTTTACAAGCAGCTTCACTTAAACGACGTAAGTTTATTTTTAAAAACCATCACGTACTGATAGTCTTGAAAATTACAGTTTTTAATATAATCTAAAAAAATTTCCATACATGAAAAGATGATGATAATTTCATCAAATCATCGGATGTAATCTTTTATATATTAACTGACATACCAATAAAAATAACACAGAAATTTTTCAAAAACCAAGCTATTTCTCCGTATTCTACACATATGAATAACGAAGAATTCTATTGAATAAACGCAAAAAAAAAAAACAACATTATTCCTATATTTTTCTATTTAGACAACGCAAAAACTTGAATCAAGATAAAGAAAAAACACATATAATAATTCCATAGACTAGTCGTCTTATTTCCCAAAAGTTTCACTCTACTTCTATACATTGCATTCTATTGCCTCAAAATATTTTGATCGCTACGATTGTAATAAATGAGCTTCATCATTAATCAAACATCGATCATACGTTTATTATCTCTTGAGAATACATAGTTCATAGATTATTGAAAAAATACTATAGTTCATGAAACTCACTAACCTCATAATCTATTGATTTGTTTTTTTGTTTATCTTCATTGTATATTCTATTTATTCAAAAAGGAAGCAGTGTTATAAAGACTAATTTGATGAAGTAATGAGATAAGTTTCTATTTACTTTTTACCTTTTAGATATATTCCTATATGATTGACGTTTAGTTTTTTTCTACTGAATTTTTACTATGTTCGCTGTCAAAATATTTTTCTATAACCTATTGTTTCTTAAATTTTTATTGATTAACTTTCTATGTCAAAGCGACCAAAATAACAACATAAATTAGAAATAAGTACATTAATGAAAAAACCCTTCTATTTAAATGAAAGAATTTCTAAAAATAAGTCCTTTCTTTTTCATCAAATCACATTATACAAGAAAAAAAAATACATGAATATCTCATTTGGCATATGCCAATGTTATATTCAAAAAAAAACAAAAAGTTTCTTAATTTAATAAAATATTTCTTTCAATGATAATTATACGAGTACATACATTACGAAGTATGGCATGATTATTCGTCTTTGTCATGTTTTCTATTGAGTTCTTTTTTTCTATATAACATTTGGGTGTTGTCATAATATTTCTTTCTTTCTTTTTTTTGTTACTTTCTTTCTTTTTATTTTTCTTGCTCGAAGACTGTAAGCAATCAGTCACAAGCTACGAGCTTTCTTCTCATAGCTTGTTTGTGCTGATGTCTGCATTAAATAAAGGGGGGTAGTAGTTGTAACATTAAATGACAAACTGACGTCATCATAAATATGAGAATTGCAAAAGAGAATAGCGAACGTTATTCCCTACTTCTTCTTTTTGTTCGATCTTTGTTTGAACAAGCATCTGCGATTGCACGAGCATACGGAAGCACATATTCTATTTTCTTTTTCGTTCACTCTCGCGTTATATATATATCTATATTTTTTTTGGGATTGAGAAAAAAAGAAGAAAAGGAGTAATGAACGACGAGAAGTTTAGATAATGGCATTCATACGCAAGCATCCATCTCAGCACGCTATTCTTTACACTAACAGAAAAATGATTATAGTGACAGTAGAAAAATTCAATGTTTCTTTGTTTTGGAAATAAAAAAGAAAGAGATAAGGAAAAGAAACATTTAGAAAACATATATATTTAATCCTATCTAGTGAAAAGATTTTCTTGTTCTTTACAATCTTTCTCATCCGCATACTTTTTATCTTATTTTCTTCAACATTCAACGAGTGATTCTTTGTGTAAGAAAGAAAAAAAAAACAGAAAGAGTGAAATTACAATTATTTCTCTTTGCTTAATGACACAGAACATTCATTGATTTGTATCCATTTACTCATTACATTTTCAAGATGACGATCGGCACCACTTTGGATACATCAACAAATTCTTTATTTTCATCATTGACAAGTAAGATAAATATAGAATAGAAAAAAAAAAACAACGAATCAAACCTATGTTCAATGTAGCTTTAGTCTTTTTTTTTGCTTGTTGCCTAATTGTAATATGTATATAAATTATATTAGAAAAATATTTAATATAAATTTTGTTTTTATTTTTTCTTTTATATTCAAGGTGAAGATACAACAATGCGATTTTCTTTAACACCATATCCTGGTGAAAAAGGTTTTCAACAATGGAAAGATGCTATATCCGTTGCCATACGAATGCCAGGTGGCTTACCAGCTTCAATTCGTCAAAAAGTATTAAATAAAAAATTCAAATACTTTTTTCTCTTATCTTTTGATGTTTGTTTAGCTTTGGATATCATTAGCTACGAATTATATACGAGAAATTCATTTAGATTGGGATAAAACATGTCGATTTGCTTTTAATAATTTTTCTAATCCAGATGATGATCAACTTGGTATTCAAATAGTTAAAGTAAAAAAAACAAAAAAAATGAAAATTTTCTCAATAATAAACATTAATATTCAATAAATTTATTTTAGGATCTTCATCGTACTGGTTGTAGTTGGTCATCAAATGAACATGATCGTGCAACATTAAAACGTGTTTTACTTGCATTTGCACGTTATAATAAATCTATTGGTTATTGTCAAGGTTTAAATATATTAACTGGCGTTATACTTGATGTTGTTGATATGAATGAAGAATATGCTTTAATGATATTAATTTATTTAATTGATAGTATATTACCAAATTTTTTTTCAAATAATTTACGTGCATTAGCTATTGATATGGCTGTTTTTCGTGAATGGTTAAGAATTTATAATAGTAAATTACATACACATTTACAAAAACTTCAATCATCATCACATGATGCATCAGGTACAATATATGAACCACCATTATTAAATGTATTTACAATACAATGGTTTTTAACATTATTTGCAACATGTTTACCAAGACGTGCAACTTTACGTGTTTGGGATGCATTAATGATTGAAGGAAGTGAAATATTATTTCGTACGGGACTTGTACTTTGGTCGAAATTAGCAATGTAAAAAAAAAAAAACAATAAAAATTATTAATTTATTTAATTAAACAAAAAAAATTGTTTTGTTTTCGTTATAGTTCGGTTTTGAAAGTATCAACAGCTGATCAATTTTATTCAGTTATGGCAAATTTATCAGTTCAATTATTAGATGAAAAAATTATCGATGCAGATAATCTTATAAAAGTAAGATTATTAATAGAATGAAATATAACAAAGAGATACGAGTTTGTCTTTTTTTTTCTTTTATTAATTATAGGAAATTTATAATTTTGGTCCATTTCCTACACCAATGTTGTCCGATTTACGTCAAAAATTTTCATTTAATATCACACCATTTCAACAATTATCGGCATCAACTACAAATATACCAGATGATGGAACTATAAAACAAGGAGTTGTACGATCAAATTGTGGGGAATTAAAATTAAGAGTAAATACATTTGACATTAATAATTAAATGTCAGGCTTTTTTTTTGTTTGATTATATGCAAATGAATTAGTACATCCGTTAGAAATAATATGCCTTTGTTGAGAATTTTGATTAGATTTTTCTATGAAAACAACATTTTCTTTTTGTGTATTATTAAAAAAACATATATATAAAGGAAGAAACAGCAGGAGTACATTGAGTTAGTTATAATTCTGCTCTCAGCTTGAAAAAAATCTTACAATGTATTTGTATAATTAGTAAATTCTTATTGTTTGATTTATATTTACTCTCAAGGAAATCTCTCCAGGTGTCAAATCGTTTTTCAGCCGAGACGATGTTCATTTGATGAGTAATAAAAAATTCTAGAATAGTTTAATTTTCTGAACCTTCGTCATTGAGATATAGAATTTGTACTGGATTTTTTCAACAGAAAAGCTGTGGTCACGTGAAAAAATCGACTTTCGACTTTGAAATTTACACGAACAAAGTTCTCAATGAGATAAGTTGATTGTGTATTTTTTAGCATTTCTAGTAATTCATTTCTGGAAAGGTAAATAAATAAAAAAAAAATTGCTTTAACACATAAGAGGATTTCGAATAATGAATACATCAGGATAGGCAATACTAGAAAAGTTATAACTTGTTCAAGGAATTGATCTCAGTGAGAACTTTGTTCGTGCAAAATTTGAGAACATTTTCTCACGCCATCACAGCTTTTTGTTAAAAAACCCAGTAAAATTTCGATACCTCAAGAACAAAGACCCAGAAGACCTAATCATTCTATATTTTTCTATTACTCATCCAACGAAAAGCGTCTCTGATGAAAAACGATATAACAACACCTAAAAAGATTTTCTTGTCAACAATTATCTTATTTTGTTATCTTTTTTCTAATGCTTGACGATATATGATAATATTTGTTTATAAATAACAACCTTAGGTTACCTGTAGTTATTTGATTAGCATGATAGTTATGTCTTAAATGATATATCTTGAATGCATGTTACTATTTCTCATCTAGAATTCTAGAGAAAAACAAAGAACGAACTGTAATAATCTATATGTCTTTGTTTTGATAACACTGGTAAAAGTTCAAGGTCAATAATATAAGTCAACAGGTTCATATCTAGTTTGGAGCTAAGAAATGCTTGAAGACCTCCTCTGATCTGAACCAATCTGTTCTAACAATTTTCGTTCTATTTTTGAGAAAGGCACTTCTGAGTATAAAAAAAACTTTGCTCTCTTAATGGAATTAACAGAAAAAAGCAAATTTCGAACAGCCCAGTCCTAGGAACTAGAACTTTGAACTAAGAGATAGTCGAATTTTAATCAATAGAATTTAAAAGTCGATTACGAAGAATCTAAAAGCTACGGAATAAATCTAAGTATGCAGTAGTGCAAGGTCTAATTGTTCGACTGGATATCCATTCATTATTCTTGTACTGTGACAGCGAATTATTATTTATGTTGCGTGTACATTAGACCCCGTCTATGACTGGTAAACTAGTACTCAGTTAACTGGAACTTGTACATATCTAAACAAATCGAAATAATGTACAATTTTTTTGCTTTATGTCATATTTCTGTTAGATTAGAATTAGCAGATAAATAATCAAAAGATAAACTTATTAATTTTGTCTCAATTTTTATATATAAAAAATTTATCTTTCCTAGGATAATAAACGATCGAAAACAAAACTTAGTACAGTTGCTGATGATGAAACAACAGCTGATGAAGATATTGCTAATTTTATGTCTTGTTTTGCAATCTTATCATCTCCATCACGAAATAATCGACGTATAATTCAAACATTTTTTCAATTTCAAATAAAAATTGATTCGTTTTTGTCTTATTCTAGTCGAATATCATCCAAATGATTCAATAATAAATAATAATACTACAGCATTATCACGTTTAACACCTGGAGCTTATTCAAATTTACCAACAACACATAAAACAATTTCAATTGAAGATTCTTTATCACTTGATATAAGTCAACTTCGACAACAATATAAAAAACTTAAAGAACGTAATAAACAAGTACAAATTATTATTCAAAGTAAAAGGAATTTTTTTTTTGTTCATTTTCTTTAAATATAATTTTATTAATTTAGCTGCTTCCAATGAACAAAAACAGCGATCACGAGCACCATCAATGCATTCATCAGCAACAAATAATCCAGAAAATTTTCGTCGTCCAACACTATCTTCACTTGAATATTCTACATCGAAATTACCATCATCTGTTTGTTCAATATCTAGTGGTCCATTAGTAATTAGATTTTTTTATATAAAATTTCTTTATTTTGAATATTTTCTCTCTCTTAAGGTTAATCATTTATTAATAAAACCAACAGATATAAAACGAAATCAATTTAAAAAAACAGTTTCTATGAAGTCTTCATCACCACCCCTTCCTATACAAGATCAACAACCTAAAGCAATGCAAACATTTCAAACAGAACCAATTCCACAAGAAAAAGTTCAACGTTCAAAAGAGCAAGAAGCTGAAGAAGCAGCTGAATTACAACAAGAATTAGATCAACTATTAACAAGTCTTAATCTTGAAAAGCCTACATCACCATCATCATCAAAAATATCCGATGAAAAAGAAAAATCTACAACTAATGAAACAATTCAACTTAAAAATGTTGCACAAACACTTTATAATTATGAAAAAATTCAAGTAACAACAAATGACAAAAAACAATCACCTAATATAATTGATCGTTTATTAACATCACGTTCTGTACAAATACCTAAATATTCATCATTTAATCCATTTCCTTCACGATCATTTAATGAAAATGTTGCTGTTAATGGTTATAAACTTGGATTATATGCACCTGATTCAGCAAATCGTTAAAAAATATTGTCTTTCATGTGAAAAAAAACCAACATCATTCCATTTGGCTGTGAATCTCTTTTTATTTTGAAGAATATTATCTTATTGTAAATTTTATGTTTTTTTTTTCTTCCTTTCATGGAAAAAAGAGCAAAAATGACAAACCTTCTGCTTTTTTTGTTGTTGTCCTACGACTTATTATTCGTTTTTATTATTTGTTTTTTGCTTCGGTTTTGGATCTCATCTATTTTTATCTGGAATCTGATGGTCTTCGTTTTTTTTTCTCTCTTGGCAATAAATCATTTATGATAATGTTATGCCTTACAATGACGCATTTAATAAACAGTGACTAGATTAAATATAGCGTAATACGTTTTATCTATCGTTCTTACCTATATATATATATATGTAGATTTAACAGATCAGAACTATATCGTGTTCTGTTCCTTTTGCTCTGAATAAAAATTATTAAATTTTTACGTGACTTTTTACAGAAAGAAGAAACGACGTAATTGTTTTCTTTACTTAGTCATCAAACAGAATACAACAACAAAGAACATATCAACATTAATAAAATAACCCCCCCCCCCCCCCCCAAAAAAAATAAGTACGCAAGAAATATTCTACTTATTTTCTTTCTCCAAACGAAAAGTAACCTTAAAGTTTAATAATAAATATATCATTTATCTTGATTCCAATCATCTAGCATATAATTTAAATTAGATGTTTGTTTCATCTCTCGTATAGATGTATATGTTTAACAAATAGAATATAGACAAAAACAAAACAAGATTTTCTCCTTTATAGATGTATATATAAAATTCATTTTGGTTTTCGTAAAAGTAATAATGTCATAGCAGCATCAACAACTTCTACACTAGGAATAGAAGTTGTTGATGAATCATTTTTCGAATATTGTTTTTTTCGTTTATTATTATTTGATTCTTCTGATGAACCAAGACGATGTATAGTTTTATCACGTTTTGTATTATGTTTTGATAATGTTGGACAACTATTTTCATCATTAGTATTACGTGTCAATGTTAGTCGTCGTTCTGAACATAAACGTTCATAGATGTCTATTGTATATTGCGTGTATAATGATAATTGACGTGTATTCATTGTCAATAATGTATCAAGTAATAATTGACGTTTTGAACGATCTGTTGCCCATAATGGATAACGTAATTTAATTCCACTCACCGGGTCTTTGATTATTTTAACAAAAAATGAGATTTGTTTTGTCATATGATAACGTATTTTACTCTTTAAACGTGCACTACGAATTAATTGTTCATCAGATGATGTAGGATTCGTTGTTTTTAATTGTTGTTGTTGTTCAATGTGACGTTCAATCCAATCACATATTTCATTTAATGTCAATGAACGTGTTTTAGATTCTTCAATAGCAAATAATATCCAAAAACATAATGCAGAATGTGGTGGTGAAACAATATCAGTTAAATTTACTGTTGTTACACGTTCACTTGAAGAATTTAATGATGATGAGTCATTATCATGTTCACTATCAGATGAATCAATAAGACTTGATGGCGATGAATGATGATGACGAGGAATATCTTCTTTATCTGTCACATATATTGGTAAACTTTGACTAAGTTTAGGCAATTGACGTACGGAATTTGATGATCGTTGATCGAACATATCTGATCGTGTTAACCACGATAATTCAGTAAGATCATGATCATTAGGTAATTGTTGTTTGAAATTTGTTGGATAATGATGAGTTAACATTTGTCTAAAATTATCTTTCAATAATATATAAACATAGAAGGCAAGGGTAAAAAAAGAAGAATGTAACAATAATGATATCGTGTTTGTTTTTAAACAGATAGAATGATATCACTTTTAAAAAAAATTCTCTTTATGACAGAACTTTGTTGTGTAATAATTGGAGAGGAAAAAAAGAAAGAAATTTTTATTTTTCGAAATATTTGACTCATTATATACGCAATATATTATTTCCTTCCGTTTGACATGTGGTCTAGATTCTTTCTGATTTTTTTATTGAATTTGTAGTGTTCGATGGGAGAGGCAGAGAAAAAAAAAGGAAAGAGAAGTGTGACACTTACTTACGAAATGGAGAGAGCTTCTGTTTGAGTATGAATAAAATTAGCCTTTTTTTGATGACATCATTCTCTTTCTTTTTCTTTTCGTTTATCTTGATTTTTTTTTTCAAGTTTCTTTTTATTTTATCTGAAAATACAAATATACTACTAATGCGCAAGAGCGCTCACTCTTACATACATGCGACGAATTTTCGCTGTTGTTGCTGATCTGTGTTGTCCGTTTGTCTATACGGCTGTGTGAAGTCAGAAAAAAAATAGAGGACAGAAGAAAGACGTGAGAGAGAGAAGGTGCAGAATCAAAAAGTAGTGAGTGAGTAATGGTAGTAGCGTTATAAAGAAGGGGACAAAGACGAAAAAGAGACGAGAAGAAGAAAAGAAATAAGAGGAATGGATTGAGTCTTTCTCGTAGAGTTAGTTGTGAAGGTATGTGTGTGCCCGTCGAGAAGAAAGAAGAGATAGACGACGACAAGGGAATAGTAGTTGAGGGTGAGAGAACTATTACTTAGCAACACGACATCTGTCTTCTAACCTTTTTTCCTAGCATGCGCATATCTACATTTTATACACTTATTTACCTCGTGACAAAAGAATGACTGATGAGTGCAAAATAAAAAAGAGGAGGAAAAAAAGGGATATTGGCTTCCTCGTTGATGAATGTTTAACAGACTGAGCAAATTGAGGAAGGGAATAAAATATAGAAAATATGAAAGAAAAAACGCTCTTTATCAGAACTAATACAACAATCTGTCATTTAACTAAAGAGTCAGAAAGGACATAATAAAATATAATAAAAATGAAAAGTAAACATTAATTGAAATTAATTATTAATATTAATCATTAATTAGACGCAAAAAAATTGAAAATAAATCTTTGATTATTTATAAAAGAAACAATAATATTGAAATTTTGAAAAATAAATATCATTAGAAAAAAAGTAGAAAGAGTACATTTTCTTTCGGAAATCAACAATATCCTGTTCATTTTGTCATAGAAAGATTTATTTGTTATTATATTGCATATTTATTTTCTAAATATCATATGAGAATAAATAGTGAAATTATAATTGTCATATAGAAAATAATAAACTATCGAAAACCTATATTTCAATATATATATATTCGTCAACTGATGCCCTCTATAAAATAAAACCTGTAATGGATTTCATTTGAAGTTCTAATAAACTATTTGAAACAAACTAAGTAAGAAAGAAAACCCTAAATGTTTGAAAAATGGATGTTGAAGTCGAATTAACAAATGATTCTGAACATTTAATTCAAATTCTTGGCGATCGTATTGAAGAGCTTGAACGTACACTTCATGATGATGAAGAATTTTGTAATAAAGATATTGATGCAACATATCAAGCTGGTTTAAATTATTTAAAAAATTTTCAAGAAAAATTTCATGACAAATTAAATGAACTTAAAATAAAACTTGAACGAATTCGTGAAGAAAATCTTCAAATATCAAAACAAAATAAACAACAATTCGATGATGAAATTGAAGAAATCAATCAATTATTTTCTTCGGGAAAACATCAAGAAGGTTTAAATATACACAAAGGAAAAAGAAGAACATTTATAGAAATTTTCTTTTTCATTTTCTTTTCTAGCTGTAGAAAAATTTCGAGATTATGAAAAACGTTTTGAACAACGAACAACTGTTATTAATAATATACCAAAATTATTTATGAAAAATATTGATATTCAACAATATTTTTCATTTGATAAACCATTAAGTATTCCTCAAACTCCATCATATGATAATAAACAAAATTCATTAGATCATAATAAACCATTAATTAAAACATATCCTCCTTCACAAAAGCCTTTCGAACTAGATTATAATAAATCCGAAGATGATGAAAATAATGAAAGAGAATTTACTAGGTACCACCGAAAAAAAAAACATACTGAAATTTATCAATTATAAATTTCTAAATTTTAGATCATCGTCCTTTAGTCAATCGAAACATTTAAATACTCAAAGAAGTGTACCCAATAATTGTTTTATGTATAATATTGTTAATATTAAAATTTAAAAAAAACAAACAACTTATGTTTTATTTCTAGAATCAAAGAATCTAAATCTCCTTTATCAACGGCTACATCACGTCCTGTACGTTTCAGTACACGATTACCACCATCACCATCACCTACAAGCAAGAGTTTACCAGTGACTGAACATGATACAGTTACTTCTTCATTAGTACAAAGTAGTATTTTAAATTCTCATGGAAATATTCCTAGTCATTCACAAGTACGACTGACACCATCGTCACCAAATATCAATGCATCATTATATCAACGTCAAATATCGACTGTAAAAACGAGCAAAGGAGAATTAACTCAAAATTTCGGTAATAATTTGTGAAAAAAAACACACAAAAGTGGATGATTTATTAATAAGCGAGTTTAGAGAAAAGGATTCACTGGAAAATTAAATTAAAAAAGTTTGTATGCCAAAGGATGTCGATCATGTTTTCACTCACATCGTTATTATGCTAGAGTGATTTATTACTATGGATATACGAAAATTGGAACAAGTACCCAGAATCTTCTTGATTAGTTGTTTTTGAATAAAAAGTTTTCGAGAATTAGGATTATCGTTTGGAATTTATGGTTTTGTGTCTCTGAATACGACAAATTAGATATTAATTAAAGTCATTATTATACATGCAAATATGAGTCTCATATCAATGAGCTTTAGAACATACTTTTTTCTGTTTCATATCGAAAACAAATATCCAAACAAGTCTATACTTATAAGCATGTTACATATAAACAGTATTTCTTTTAAATAATCAAATCATAATTAGGTCCGAAAATCGTATATTCTTTTGGTTAGTTAGTTATTAGAAAATTGAATGTATACAGTTTATAGCGTAGGCCACTCTTTAGGTGTTAGACATTTTCTAAGATCAGTTAAATAGTATTTAGTATAATTTACTGAAGACTATTGTTTTAATCGCTCTGTCCGGTGTGACTGTTACTGTTGACGAAATAAGATTAGAAAGTGCTGGAATCGCCTAAAAATTTTGAGTTTCCGACCAATTTCGAGCTCTTTTTGTTGTACGTCATTCACAGTCACAATAAAATCAGATAGAGTGATTGAAACTAGGAATTTTTGGTTATCACAAATATATTATTTTTAAAGCGAAAAGTCAAAACTTAGTACATCCTTCATCGGATATAAGGTGTTCAATTTTAACAGAAAACTTCATTGATAATAATACTACCCTTGCACAAATAAGTATATTTAAATCTTGAGCTTATCATTCTAGGCTTCGTATTTAAATGTGATATATAAATATGCATAGCATATCGTCAAGTAATTCGGACTACTGAAACAAAGCCTCACTGTTTCATAGTGATTATTCAAGACATGATTTATCTGATCCCTAAATAATCAAGTATAGGAACATATTACATGTTTTATTAATTGATCTTTCTGAACTTGCACAATAGTCGATAAAAATCTACCGTTTCTCGTATCTTGACTACTAGACATGTTGAAGGTTTGAAAATTAGTGTGTGTATACTATTCCACTAAGAGTGTAAGTCTGAGACACGAATTTACCTCGATTGTTTAAGTGGAACGAGAAATATGATGAATAGTAATGAATCGCACCTATTTGTCCTTTTATCTGCATAACTCTGAAAAAAAAGAACTTTGTGTATCAGCGTTTGATAGTTTTTGTAAATCATAACTCAGCAATAGTTCAGTGAATCGAGACAAAACTTTTACGCAAGTATTGTCTGTAGTTGCGCATGATTAGTTATAAGTTTCATCAAAGAACCTTTTCCTAAATGAAAATACCATCCGAAGAATCATTGTGATGGTACAGAGAATTCAAAGAAAACAATCTTCGATTAAAGAACTTAATCTTTTGGCTAAAAAGACGAGCCTAGACTATGTTCTGTTTGTATACTAAAATATCAAGAACTAGTTCATGTACTTGATAATAGGTAATGAAGCAGTTTAACAGATTATTTTTTTCAGGCTAAAGGCTTGAAGCAAAGTTAAGCGTCCTTCATTATAATTCTCGTTGTATTTAAGCAGTCAGGACGATTTTCTACTTTTGAACTAAACTGTTACTGCAGTATATTCACACTAATTTTCACACATTCAATATGTATAGTAGCTGACATATGGCGAGTGCAAAACTTTTGTCCACTACTGTATTTCATGAGATAATCTGTGAGACAATTTTAAATGCATATTAAACAGATTGTTTTATCTTTCATTTTAGTTGCACATTATGAACATGACCGAAATACATCTGTAATCATAGCATGCAATAAAGACCATATAATTCTTTTCCGAAGTCGTTTTAATCAATTATTATCATGGTGCTTAAGTGCTATTGATCGTACAAATTTACAAGAACAACGTTTAAATTGGCTTGATCATTTAATTGTTTCAATGGGTTTTATTGATAAAAATCATCTATATATATTTGCAAAACATGATTTTATAATATATTCACTTGAATCATTTTCAAAAATTAATTCATGGATGTTATTAAATGATGATAATTACAATACAGAATTAAATGATCAAGAATATTCTATTGGTACTGTATATGATAAATATGTGTATTATATTTATTTAAATAGTAAACATCAATGGATATTATCAATATTTGAACTTGAAACAATAAATCATTTATATGATTATAATTTAACAGAAAATTTTCCTAAAGTTAAACGTTTTATACATATATGTGCTAATAATAAATATATAAGTTTTCTTGTTGAAATGGATGGTTTACAATATGCTGTTGTATTTTGTTCATATAATAATCATTCTATAATAGCATTAAAAGAACAAATATCTTTATTTTATGCTGTAAATCCATTAACAATATGTTCAATATATATTTATTGTTTACAAAAATATATTTTTTTTATTAATGATCCATTAGCAAAAATAATTCACATAATAACAAATGAAAAATATTTACAATCTTATTCAATAATTGCTCATGCTTTTAATTATATAGATGAAAATCAAGAATTAATATTTGCATCAAATGATGGTATATATTCAATTAATATAAATGAACAAACGAAATTTTTTTCAAAATTTCATTGAAATTTTTTGTCAGATATGTTTTTCATATTTTGTCTCATGATTATTTTTCTTCTCTTTTCTTTCTCTTTTTTTTTTCTGTCGATATGTTATCTACTCTGTGATCTGTATATAGCGTTTGTTTTTTTTTTAACAATATGAAATAAAATATATGGAACAGGTTGAAAAGTTTTTTCTCTTTTACGAAACTTATATATTATGCAATGTTCTTTATTAAACTAGCATAGATAGAATAATAGATTACAGTCCAGACCAGCAAGTTTGAACTCATTACTCGGTAACGGATTAAATAAAGATCCACCGTATATCATATATCCAAAAAAAAAAAATATTCATCGGACACTAATCCGATTAGAATTTGATCTAAAGATAACAATACACACTCAGAAGTAAAGACACTGATTGCACTTTCTCGAAAAGAATAAATATCCTGCAAAGATAATAAATATCTATATATAAAATTTTGCTTATTATATTTTTATCATTTTTATATAAATAACATAATTTTATTAATGCGTACGAATATACACAAACGTAAATATATATTATTCAATATGAAATTATAATGAATAGTCAAGAACATACAAATAATTGTCTAAATAGATTTTAAAAGAGAATATTTTATTAAACTGAAAAAAGTTAATTCGAATAAAATGTCAGGAATAGTTATTTGAAAGATTCATTGAATCATCATGATAATAATTGAAATCTATGAAAGCTTCACCATACTCTCAAACTGTTACATCTTCTCATCATGCCACTGATTATATGTCCTTTTTTTTGTCTTTTATTTTGAAATTCAATTTCAAATATTTTTATATCAGATATAATTTGATAACAGAAAGACTGATTAAAATCAATCAGAGATATAATTGATATTAGGTAAAAGTGAAGTTGATTTTGATTTTAAAAACTAAATTCTTCTAGATCAGTAACAGTATGCCCAAGCAGAGCTGACACTAGGTAGCAGCCAAAATTAATAGAATATAAGAAGTTTTTTTCTAAGAAAATCCATGAAAAATTTTCGACCCGCCAGGAAAAAACAAACAGTTTTCTTGATGGAGAAGTGATGTCACCCTCCAACATTTTCCTCGGTCAGACTATCTCTACGTCTAAATAAATATAGAATTATCTATGGGAGTCCAAAAATGAATTTTCTTTTGTCTCAAACTTTAAAGTATTTCCAACATCGAAATAATTTTCATTCTCTTCAAGATGGCTTTTTTAAAATGCCTTTTTGTTATCAAAAGCGAAATTATATATTAAAAATTAAACTATCTTTATGAATTGACATGAAATTATTACTAAGCAAATGAAACGTTTTTTATTTCAATTCTCATAATGAATCATTAATATCTAGTTGTAACAAATAAATGTTAAGAAAAACTTTTCTAGTAGAAAAAAAGAACATAGAGAACAAATAAGACTACATTATGCACACAAATAATATATAGATAAATATATAATTATGGTTTCCATGGTTTATCTGAAACATTACTTAAATTTGATCGTTCAGACACATTTGACATACGTGAACAGTGTTTTGATGCTTGAGTATGTGCACGTGATAATCGTGTAGCACTATCTTTTGGTAATAAATTATTTTCAAGTTGTGCATTTAATTCTTCAATATCATGATTTGTAAATTGTTCTCGAATGCCAAATGTAATCATTGAACCTAGCGATGGTCGTGTTAAACTAACAGCTGATTGTCCTAATGGTGCTTCACTATGAAGTATATTCATTGATTGTGTACGTGTAAGAATTTTTATTGGTCTTGCTTGTACACTTGATGATGTCCATACTAATGGACATGTACCAGTTATGAGACCACGTGGAAATTTTTTCACAGCATATTTTAAACCTAGAAGAATAATTTCTTTATGTCTTGTTGTTTCAATTTTATTTAATAATAGAAAACATTCTAAATGTTTTCATTTGAGATTCTTTTATTACGATGTTATCAGTATACTCGATTGTATCAAAAGAAAATATGATACACTCTTTTGTGTAATTATTTATGCTGAAAAAAGAAAGTTAAAATTGTTACTCATATCGAGAAAACCGAGACGTTATAACCTTACGACAGTATAAATAAAAGCATTTTTATATTCAATGACTTTAGTTTTATTAACTGATGCGCAATACACAATTTCTATAGAACACGAAAACATTATCTATTTCCTATCAAAAACGCATTTTCTCTCAGAGAAAGATTAATTTTCAGTACTCAATAAAAATATATTTATGGAGAAAAGATGAAATTTGTAAAAAGAAAATTTTCGCTAGAAAAATATATGATGGAATCCCTTATAGAAAACTTTTCTCAGAAAGAATTTAATTTTAAAAATTACCAAATGATACATCATTCGATGCTGATTCTTTTTTTGAGCTGATTCGCAATATATGTTTAATTTTCTTTTAAGGTACTTGTGAGACAAACAAATGCGGAAAATCTTAAAAAACGAAGGATGTCTTGTAAAGTCTGTATCTCCATCCAGAAGCACTCGCATATATTTACGCTAATTGAGTAGATTTTTTCAAACAGAGACAAGTATTCTATGAAAATTTCGTTGTGTTTAGAGCTGTACTAAATTTCGAACACCGACTATACTGAACAAGTCTTTTTAGAAAATTCTTGATTGAGACAGCATACATACTTTTTCTAATAGGAAAATTTTTTCATATAGAGCAATAGGACAAGATCTCTACTTTCAGAGTCTGCATAATTTATTTCGTAGATCTTTTTGCTTTATTTGGAAAAAGATACTTTGCTCTAAGATGACAGAAACCTAGTCATGTTTTCAGTCTAGGGTTTTCTCAGAGTCTGAATAAACTAAAATAATTTATTTTAAATCAAAAAGTTGGTCATTGACTAAAGTATATTCGACATTATTGAAATCACAAAAACTATCACTTTCATTTATTTTTGCATTGAATGTCCCCATTGTTGTTGTTAATTGTGTAATGTACTTGAATCTTTTTTCAATATACTTGTAAACATTCTTCATGATAGGTTGTGAATATATATATAATATGTAAAACAACGAGTAAAAATTCAATGGGAATGTAAGTCATGGCTGTACTGCGAGGACAAAAAAGGCCTTTTTTGCCTTACTAATCTGCATAGATATTAATTTTAAAAATAAAATATTTAAGAAATAATTTCTAATTTGGTCTTAGAAATCAACTCATTGTTAACGTAGGTCATTAAAATTAAATGACAATATATTCTAATCATAAGTTTTTATGCATAATAAACTTACCTCCAGAAAGTAAAAAGATGTTGTTATAACCTCGTTCTACCATAATTGTTGCTGCACGTGGCGCAATACGTTCATCTTCATCATATAAAACAATAATTTTGCCTTTTTGATTTTTCTATAATTATGTGATTATCGGTTAAAAAGAAAAACAAAATCCGATTATAAGATGATATAGGTCAACAATAGAAAATAGTTCTTCTTCTTTTCTTTTTGTTTCATTGAACTAAATAACCCAATTCATATGAATAAAATATCAGAATTTCAACACGAAACTCATATTTTTATAAAAGATTTTGTTAGGTATTATACTAAGGAAAAAATTTGCTGCGGAGGTTTTTTTTTCTTAATTGGAAAGAACTTTCAAAGTTATCAGATCAATTTAGATATTAAAAATATAAATGCTCTTAAACTTTCTTTTATTACTGTCAAAGTAATACTTTCACTGAATAATTACCAAGGTTTTTTAATCGCCATCTAAGGTGTACGATGTGTCAGAGGAATAACAAGTAAAATATCAGGTCACATCAATGAACTGTTTGTCTTGTCTAGTTTTTTCCCCGTTTTTTTTTCCTTTTTCTTTTTTCTTTTGGGATTATGTAAGAATAGAAAAAGAGGACTGTTATTATCTATATTATAAATACATGAAACAAACACAGTTCAATTAGTTATTATATTTTGACACATTGAGCACAATAAATGGCTCTTATCCTTCATAAAATCATATGCGCTATTATCATTGTTTTACAATTAAGAATGCTGAACGTAATTTACGTTCATGGAAATGTTGGTGGTTATTGTAGACTTCAAAATCGTACTGTCGTTTTAAATATATGCAAAACTCCACCTCGTCTTATACTACCTGTGTGTGAAGGCTTTTGTCCTAGCAGTACTCGATGGGAGTTCAATTCTAATCGCTTTGTGCATCGAACGAGTGCATGCACAGTAACTCGGCATCGAACCGAACAATTTATATGTCGCGATTCTACTCACACAGCCGTTGAAATAATCATACCACTCGCATGTTCTTGCAATAAACACTATTGTCGAAATCATCATCAAGATTCTTCATGATAGTACATATTAATACCGATGAATTGACAAAATTCAAACTACTTTGTTTTATCCCTGTTATTATATGTGTACATTTGTTTATTATGCCTCGGAGAGGTTCTTTATATCCTACTGTCCGTGACTAAAAATATTAAATGATAAATAAGAAAATGGATTACATAGATAAGCAATTCTTTTGATTCATTATTGGTACAACGTGAAAGCATAGTAGCTGGATAATGGTGAGCTAAATTAAAAATAAAAACAAGTGATTATAGTTTAAATTTCAATGGAATCACCTGAAGCAATATGATTAATATTAAATTCATCTTTATCACGAAGATCGACAATTAAATAAGGACATTCTTCATATGCTAAATTAATTTGTTCATTATTTGTTATTTTTGGTGTTGATATTATCGTTGAAGAACGATTTGTATGTTTATTGTATAAATCCATTTCACCAACACCACGAATAACACTAAAAATTTTTGAAAAGTTTTCTTCTGTTTTTTCTTTTTAATTAATAATAATATTTACCTTTGTAACGTTGATCGTGATGTAGCAATACTTCTTTCACTATCTTGTGTCTGTGGTCGATTTTTATCAGTTAATGTTCGTTGTGATGCATTTGAATCTATTGATATTAAAATGTATTTTTTTTTGTATAAATAAACTTTAAAAACAAAAGATAACAAATTCTCACCATATTCATTATTTTTAGGATTTTCTAATGAATTTATTTCAGCTACTTGAATTATCTAAAAAAATTTTAATATAATTTAAATAGAATAACTAGCAATTGATTAAACAAACCAATTGTACAAGTGTTGATATTTTCATTCGTTTAAATATTTCTTCTGATTGTTGTTTCTTTGCTAAAAAAATAAAATAATTATTGTTTATAATCGATTTTTTTCTTTCTTTGATCAATCGATTTAATATTATATATCTCATATTAGTAAAGCTATCATACTGAAAAAAATGTTTTTTTTGTATTAAAAGTATGACTATAAAATAGAAAGTTTTATTCCTTTTTTGATTTAATCATTTTCAACATTCAATAACAAAATAAATCAAGTAATCCAAAAATCAAAATATCTGTAGTATTTTAATAAAACTTTTCTTTTCGTTTTTAAAAGCTCTTAAGTATAATTTAGTCTTAATGAATTCTTAAATATATTCATATTGACTAATGAAAGGCTAGGAAAACGTTCCTAATGTCGTTAAATATTAATTAAAGTAGTTTTTATTCATAAAAGAAATTAATAAAAGAAAGGCGCTATACAAGGCATATGACTTAAAGGATTCAATGGAATCTTACTAAGAAAAATGAATTTATAAGCATTTATTGTTTGATGACTTAATTATATAAATCACTTTTATAAAAATGAGTTCTGTCAGTCAAAAATGACCTTACAATATTTATCTTTTAGCTTTGGAATATTTTACTATTTTAAATAGTATATAATTTGATTGCACTCGTGTTTAGAAATCAAAGTAAAAAAATCTTCATTATATAAATAGACTTTTGTAATAAATTTATTAGAAAATATTGCTAAGTTTTGATTATAAATAAGCTAACTGCTATGTTTCAATGCTTGAAAAAATATTCAATAAGATTTTCGATTATCTATCCTAAGCCAGTTCTGATGCATTTGCACCCTTAATTTTAAGATTTTTATTAGTATTAATTTTCCTTTTGTTTAAATGATTTTTGTATCAATCATTACTATATTTAAATGAGACGATTTCTTAGACTTAATCTGTAGTTGGTCAATGCAATAAACCCTGATCGAAAATGTCTAAGCGACTGCTTAAACTATTCGATTATCAATATCTTATTGGAAGCTAGTAGTATCCTTTAATTTTTGACAGTTACATAATGTGGAGTTCATCGATTGGACTCAATAATATATGACGCCGCGAGTTTGTCAGATGATGTGATAATAGGTAATTTGTAAAATCTTTTTTTTTTCTGTTCGTCAAAAAGAAGATTAAGATACTCGCAAAAGATTTATTATTTTTTTCTCTGCAACGCATTCTGTCATAATATTTCATTAAAATTCAACTAATTATTAGAACAAAAAAATGTCTATTTAATCCGAGTAGGTTGAGATTTTGATATTAAACGTGCCAAGTGTATTCATGACATTACGAATAAGAAAGGGACTACGAATGTCACTGACTGTAAAGCAATAGTTCTTGAAAACATATTCTAAAAATAAATTGTATACATTTTAAACTCTTTTCTTTTAATTTATTACTGTTTTTTGTTTGTTTGTTTCTAGTAAATCGAAGACTTCATCATTCATAAAAGTAGTGCTTATGTAGATCACAACCTAGTTATAATAACTTAGTTTTTATTTCTATGTGATTTATTCTTTCAATTTTTACTATTACTAAATAATATTATGATTCGTTTCTAAAAATAATTCTAGCTTAACATTGTATTTTTGAGTAAGAAAAATACAATTAAATTATTTTTTATTTTAATTTCTTTTCAATGAAAAACATTTAATAGTAAGATAATAAAATATAATAAAAAAAATATCTCTTTTTTTTTATCTAAGGCACTCTCAACAGCAATGTATTAAATAGTAAAACAAAGATATGTAATGATTGTTACAGCATAATATTAAGATCATTATAAACACTCATATATGCTCGTTTATAGCTTCGTATAAGACTGTTTATATATATTCATGATATGTGCTCTAGTTGATATTCTAATGAAAAATTATTATGACCCTAATAGGTTTTCAACTTATCTGACATGCAATAACTATCGACAAAATCCTGTCGAAATTTGTTGATAGTCATTTAATTATCTAGAGTATTGCTATAAGATCCAACTGAATTAGAATTTGACATTTTTCGTACAAAAACATTTTTGTTGAAGTACTGAAACGAAAAATTCGATGTTGTTTTTATAATTATAAGCGAAAAAAAGAAATATTTGTTATGCATTTAATTAAACAAACATTTCCTGTTTTTTCTTGTTAAAGATTTATAACGATGAATAATTAGTTCAGTCTGATTTATGGACAAATATTATATTATACCAATATAAAGAAAATTTATTAGAGCAGAATTTACAAGGGAATCTACGCATGAAATGAAATGTCTATAGAAACTCTATAACAAAAAAGCACCTAGATTTTTTCATTAAACATAACGTTAATTTAATATTTAATAAATAATTTATAAAATATCATACCAATTTTGACATTAATACATGATCATTAATAATTTTCATAGAAAGTACCCTTAAGGAGTTCTATTTAACTTTTAAGATTAATTTTAAAAAGAAAACTAAAAGTAATAATCTTTAAGGACAATATACTTGTTATTATGATCTAATTCTACACTATTATTTATTTTGTTTCACCAATAACAATTTTTTCAATGTTTTTAGAAATAACATTATGTTTACATTTTATTTGGACTTTTTTTCTCTTATTATGATTCTGGCAACTAAAATACCTTTAGAGTGATCATAGGATGGTAGTTTTCTACAGGCTTGTTATCACAATATTATTTGATGTGTTCTCATTACTAATGAATCTAATTTATATTCATAAAAAATTCAGAAATTTAATTCTCAAGACAATACATTGATTATGAATATCACGAATGTTTACTTTGGAGACTACAATGACAGACATGATACTTTTTTTATTAATTGAATAATAATAATCAAAAAATTTAAAAATAACTAAGTGAAATAAAATATTTTGCAAAAACAACTTTACACATTTATAATAAGGAAACACTGATCGACCCTCTTTCATGATATTTCTTTTTTATTAAATAACTATGGAGAAATAGATTTATCGGGAACAATCCTAATCGTACATACGCCAAAAACTTTGATAGCTTCAAAATACTCCAACAATTTTGTCATGTGCACAAAGATGAAATACAAGAACCAAACAACATCTCTTGATGGTAGGTATTTTTTCTTTAAATCCAGGACAAAGAAATATTTATCCTTTTGGGTCTTAATGGAAGGTTTCATTGATTTTCCCCACATTACAGTCGAAAAATTGACCATAAAAAAATGACAGAAAGCATCAAGAGTTTTTGCAAAAGGTCGGACATTTTTG